TCCTTAAATAAAATGTAAACCAACCTTCTCAGCTAGTAGGAGGTAGTAAAGTCTTGCCATATTTTAGATGAGTCATTTAGATAGCAACTATAGTAATTTAACCATGCCAGTAAAGCCTTCTATTTCAGAAGTAAGACTGCCCTCGGAGACTAAGTGAATGGCACCCTGGGACTTGGACCATACTAGGTGTTGTTGATGACACGCGACCGCTGACAAAATAGCTTGAGAGGTACCATGTGGACTCCATGCATCCCAGGCAAATCTTTTCCAATAAATAAGATGACTGATTTATGGGAAATGGCGGATACACAGGAGAGTGCGGGTGTGAACCAACTTGGTTTCCAACCATTTCATCAGTTGGATTGGGTTGCCCAAATCCTCGGTCCACCAATGCAGGCAACAAGAGAAGTTCCAACTACTAATCCAAAGCGCTGGCAACCACAATGGGGTCAAAAAGGGCCCCCTATCACTGAAAACACTCCAGTTGCGGTAATAAAAACCTGTTTAAGAACATAGAAGGGACAAGAAGACATCAGAGGGCAGAAGTGGCATTGGCATGCTTATCCTACACAGGGCCAGGAGAACCCCAGAAGAAAGAGATCATCACGAACATCCATAAACAGAGGCAGTTGATTAGAGAGTAGGACATTATAGGCAACCTGTACATGAACCTCACAAACGAGACCTTTTGAGAGCGCGAGAGAGGCACCCATCAAATGAATATTCCCATGTTTTAGAATTGCTGGGTGTTATGTTTTGTATTGTTAGTAATCCTGTTCTGTATAGATGCAATAGGCAGAAGATAAATGCGGTCGTTACCTGTAGCATTGTATTTTAAAATTCTATTGAAATCAAGCTGTAACAGCACAGCAGATTTGTAGGAAGTGATTTTTGTAGCCACCGTAGTTTCTTCTTCACGCTTCAGTTGGTTGCAACCTGCAACTTCACTACTAGATGCCACTAAATCCTACACAGTTGTCCTTTAAAGGATTTTTAAAAAGATTTTTATTGCAACTTTTCGAAAAAGTTAGGGGACTTGCAAGAGATAGGATTAATTTAGTTATTAATAAAACACTACCTTGCTACATTGCCCACATTGCCCACAATGCCCTGTAAACCCCAGGTTGTAACGCAAGTTTTCTGCTATAAATTTGTATTTTCCAAGCCCAATCCCAGAGATAAACCTGATGACATCACTGTGACCAGGATAATCTCCTTAAATGGCGTGGAGTGCTTCCTCCAGTGTCACAGAATATGTTGTACTCTTTTTACAGGCAGAAAAAAATCTGTTATTAGTATTATCATCATGATGAATACCATAAACTGATCCTCATGTGTAAAATTGGTGGAGTGCCCCTTTAAAAAAATCTGCATACACAGACATTCATGTGCATACCTGTAACAGTGTACAAGGCTGTTATTAACAGAAGGGTGATGACAGCCACATAGATGTTCCACCCTAAAGCCTGCTGGATAAACACAGCTCCTGAAAACATATCCACCTGAGAGAGACAGAGAGAGAGGGAAGGAATGAATAAAGAAACACAGACCGTGTGTTTTTTCTGACTGCATGTTTTCAGACAGGACAACTCACTGAGATCTTGGTGAAAATGTAGAGAAACAGAGAGATAATGGAGAGGTAGAGGCTGATCCTGGTCCCTCCAAATCTCTTCTTCAGGTACTGGGGCATGGTGATCACCTAGCACAGCACATTTCACACAGTGTGTATCAATAGGGGAAATTACAGAAGTCATCACATCAGCAAATGATGCACTTGTTAACAACTGCTTACCCCCGCTGTGAGGTAGACCGGAACAAACAACCAACCTAGCAGCAGCACGATGAACAGAGCCTGACACATAAACAACACACAATAATGTATAAGATGTTACCATCCAGACCACTATGAGAGACCAGTACCATGTCACACTGTCAATTACAGCAGATTCAGGTGTTTTTTTTATAAGAGTAATTCATGAATCTATTCAATGTTTTAAGATAGTGATGACTTACATTCCACTCAAACCCTCCCACAGCGATGCCACTAGCTGCCCCAGTGCCTGCCAAGCCCACAAAGTGACCGCTACCAATGTTGCTGGCAAACAGAGAGGCACCAACCTGAATTAAAGAAAATAACATCACATCAAATCCATATAAATAAATACTTTTCAGTATGACGACTATGAAATGCACAAAACTGAGAAATGTGTGCACAGTGAGGCACATTGAGCCTATAAAATTTTGAAAAGTCAAAATACAGCCATATATTGCCCCATTCTTTAAGGATCCACAAGATTTTCTTGCTCATTAAGATCCAAAAAGATATGACCAGATTTGGGGCAAACTTTGCCTCGACATCCTCCCTTCCATAACATCCATCCTTGAAAGTTGAAGCTGACTGAAGCAAAACCGAGCGGTTGAATGTTTGAGCATGAGCAGAATGATGTATGTGCAGAGTTTGACACTAGAAGATTGTTTTCACATTCATCTGCTGAAAGTGGAAAGTTTCTCTGTGCGCACTGCCCCTTTTAAGGAGTGACGCCCACGGGCACAATTTGTGACATTGCAAATAGTCCATCCTGGTCCAGTGTCCAACTTGTAAGAGTGATGTAGAAATGTGTCCAT